CATTTACCCAGAATGCTTTGCGTGTAAATAAAATGGCTCCATCCGTGTTAAAATATATTTTTAAAAAATTTATATAACTAAACAGCCTACAGTATTTTTAGAGTCTTTATTTTACAGTTTAAATAAATGTTTATCAAATAAAGTTTAATGTTAAAACTAATCGGGGATCCCTTTAAATGTAATTTCATTGTTCTCTGTACAATGACAATAAAGGTGTCATCAATCAAAACAACAGATTTCATGAAAATGACGCAATCCAACATCAGTTTCCTCCTTCTCTTGGTCCAAAAAATAAAATAAACCCCCTGATCTTTTTTCTAACCGAGGCCCAAAGCTTAATGGTTGTTTGGACAAAAAAACCTCATATTTTAAGTAGGACAGTGCTACTTGAACATTTGTTTTAAAAATAAATGGAAATCTGCACCATCTGTATGAATGGATTTTATTTTCTCAGGTTGCACTTTTCGTTAGTTGGATTAATTCTTGTTTGATAAAAGCAACATTAACAAAAGACTGTTTGGTATCCAGCTGTGAGTGACTTTATTTGTTAGAGATGCTCTATTTTGGTCTGCGAGTGACTCGATTTGGTCCTCTTTACTCTCCTGCTTTTCAGGAGAGTAAAGGGGACCAAACCTGAGGCTCCAGTGATGAGTCCCACTCATTATCTACTGACATCTTGGATTAAAACAAACCTTCATTAAATATTTTTTCATTATTAAATGCAGAAATCATGATGGGGATGTAGCCTATGTGTGGAGTTTTGTTAAAAAATGGTTTTGGCTGAGTTTAAACTTTTTTTAGAAACAGTAGATTTTTGCTGTTATTTCACTCCCTACTTTTGTTCCTGATGTCCTTGAAGTTTTATTTTATCCAGTAATGATGCTAAGTGTTTTTGAGAACCCATCTTTGTTTTGTTTAAACCTTGATTAGATGTAACGTGTGACATTGGGTCATTAGTTCCTTTCAGAGATAGACCCAGTCTTTTCTGACTTTCTGAGACACTCTAAACTCTCCTGCTTTATGTTCATTCAGGATTTTGCTCTACTCAATTTTCAGATCTGCTTACCTGTAACCAGGCAAGCTTCGGCTGCATAAAACCTCTGTAATCAGCCCTGCTTCGTCTGTTTTTTAGAAATTAACTTTTTATTGGACTGTTGGTTGCATCAGTCAGATTGACTCATGTTTGAAATGATTGAAAACAAAAACAAGACCTTCATCTTTACACTTGTTTTCTGTTTTAAGGTTGTCTAGATTATTGTGGAGTAAATAAATTCAGATTTTCTTCCTCTCAGATGTGCAGTTGTGAGTTCAGTATGTAATCTGGATCAGTGTTGTGACAACACAGTGACATATCCTTTTAATTGTAGTTTATGAACGGATGGTGGTCTTTCTCTTTGGGTGGGATCACTGGACTGTTTAGATGTGACTAATTTGTGAGGGTTTTTTTTTGTTTGCTTTGTTTTTTTTTTTTTTTGCAGTCTTGACTGAGTGTTTGACCATTGAGCTGGCAGCTGTTTGGAAGCATCAGTTATTGAAAATCACAACTTATATTTTTTGTGTAAAACTGTATTGTTGCTCAGTTATTGTCTTACTCATTTTCACCTACACTGGCAGCTGCCCCTAAATTTTGTAATTTAATCTACAAGGGTACATATTTGAAAAATAGATTTTCAATGATTATTATTCATATGGTTTATTTTATTTTTATTTTTTTGTTGAACATGGATGTTTGCTGTCACAGGTGAGCACTGGTCAAAATTCAGTTGTGGTGCTCTGGAGACAGGTTGGAGAACCCTGATCTAAAACCTGATGAGGCAGTCCTGATTCCTGTAGTTTAACGGGGAGTCCTGTAGTTGTTGCTGTAATTTAAAATGTTTGGTTGACAAACTTAACCTTGACACCATCCTAATCAGTTTGTGTACTGTATTTAGACTGCCGTTGGATTTTGTTCATCAAATTTTAATAATGCAGTAGTTGTATTTATTCTGACACCTCGTTCTAACTAGAAATAATCTCCTCTTACCAGAAACAAGTCCTTTCAGTAGAACCATGTGGTTTGTACGTTTCATGAATAAAAGCCTTTTTGGTCATTTGAAGCTCTTGGTACCATGACCCACACGGTATACAGAAGAATGTGTTTTATATGTTAAGATAAGTTATATTTGAGCCGATTTAGGTTGATGAAAATAGTCTATAAAAGCACACCCTGATGATCAGTTTATTCTTTTAGAACTGTGGTTCTTTAAGTACCACCTTAAAACACGGAGCTCTCCCAGTACCATTGTTTTTATGACTTGTACAGAAACATTTTGATCAGAAACAAACTGACCACTGACCTTATTCTAACCTACAAATTTGTGTCTTTGGTCCAACATTGAGCTTTTAATCAACCACAGTGAGGCCCAGTTTCAGTCTGATCTTGGATAATTACTAAAACACACAATGAACTGGAGGTCCACTACAGTGGGCATGTCTCAAACTTCAAAGATGCTTTGTTAACATCATTATTTTTATTTAGCCAACAGTATTTAGATTTTAACACGTGGACTGTCGTGGACATGTGCCTGTCTTTCCTTTGACTCCATAATGCAGGCATGTCCAACTCCGGTCCTCAAGGGCCGGTCTCCTGCAAATTTTAGATTTGTCCCTGCTTCAACACAGCTGATTCAAATAGATGATTTACCTTCTCAGTTTACCATCAAGGTCTGCAGAGGCCCACTAATGAAGCACTCCTTAGGTTCAGCTGTGTTGAACCAGGGCCGCTCCTGAAACATGTAGGACACCGGCCCTTGAGGACCGACTTTGGACACCACTGTCATAATGGTTTCAACCCTGGATCTTATGAAGAGCCAGGACAACGGTGAGTGAAATTGGCACATCTTAAACTTTGACCCTGAATAAGTGCCGCAACAAATCAGTTTGAGAGTTTTTTCACTTGTTAGCAGGTGAGTCTTCACTGGTGCACTTTAGTAGCACCTGTCTGATTTGTAAAGATTACTAGTTGGACAATGAAGGGGTTTGGACTGAAGTCAAGTCACTTCAGTTCTGACTATATTCAGGTCTTTTATCAGATTGTGATCAAAGGTACAGGAAGCCTTGAAGCTCTTTTTCACAACCTGTGAAGACAGATTGGCCAACATATGAACAGATATTCATAGTCTGCAGGGGTGGTAGATTTGACAGCATCTGAACACATCAGATATCTTTTTAATGATGCCCGTCAGCAGTGACCAGATGTTTGAGCTCAGCTGAAGATGGTTAGAGCCTCTTAGTTTCATAGGTGATGTCTTTGATTCGAAATTGTTTAACGTTGTTTCCTTGTATATTTTGAGCAGACAAACACTGTACTACTTTCTGTCCCCTCTCAGGTAAGAGCAAGGAAGCCGAGATCAAGAGGATAAATAAAGAGCTGGCCAATATCCGCTCCAAGTTTAAAGGGGACAAGGCCCTGGATGGCTACAGTAAGAAGAAGTATGTGTGCAAGCTGCTCTTCATCTTCCTGCTCGGCCATGACATCGATTTTGGACACATGGAGGCAGTTAACCTGCTGAGCTCCAACAAGTACACAGAGAAACAGATCGTAAGTCTTTGTTCTTTGTACAGCATCATCTAATGGAGTATTGTAGAGCTCCAAATGTTTGCTATATTAACCTTTTTCACTGCATTTAATTCAGTCATCTGTCATGTGACAGATTTTTCTGGTGCTAAAGCTGCAGCGACATGAGTGTTGGACTCATTGAAAACCATTTGTTCCTCATGAGGTGGAAAAGATTCAAACGTCCACACAAAGTGGTCCTGCTGAAGTCTTTTAAGCAGAACAGAATGTTTCAGTACCGTCAGTATTTAGGTGACACTTTTAAAATCAGTTTATCTTTACCAGGACTGATCTCAGCACTGTTTCTTGTGGAAAAACTTGAGGGAACTGCATGTTGTACATTTTTTAATGTTTTTGAGGTCTGAAGTATTTCAAATATTTTAATCCTGTTCAAGCAGTTCGACACTATCAAGTTTCAGTTTCTAAGAGTTTGTATGATCCTTAGTCATTCAGGAATTAAAGTTTTCTGTCGCCACAGCTAATTTCTGTCATTTGTTTTAATAAATACATATATTATTTTTGTGGTCAGTTAGTCATTTGCTGTAAATTTAGTATGAAAATTAAACTGATTCTGCTTTCAGCAAAGAAAGTGAACCAGAACCACAGGCTTATCCAATCAGAACAGAGCCGGGTAGGTTATACTTTCTGATAGAAGGTGTTCCCAGGTGCAGCAGAGAGGGACTGCAGGTGAAAGCACCCATCAGTCTACAGTTCCTGTCATGAGCCAGCAGCAGCTCCGCTGTGAGCGACTCTCCATCCCAAAGCACTCGCAGGTGGTCTGGATCTCAGCCGGTCCAGATCACAGGTGGTCCAGTTCATGGAGCTCCTCTCTGCAGTCAGTTCAGACACACCTCTACTCCACACTGCAAATGAACCCTGCATACACACAACTGCTGCTGATCCAGCCCTGGCTGACAGAGCAGGATGGAAATGTACATTTTGTTTTTGTTTAACCTTTGTTTATTCAGTTAGTCTCTGTACAAACACACAATGCAAAAAGGCCCTCTCTGACTCTGCCCCTTTCACCTGAAACGCCTGTCAACAGAATTTAAAGTTGACCAGTTTAATCAGGGGGCTTTAATCGATCAGAAGGCACTTTGAAAATCTCCAGACTTACTGTTTTTAGTTCAGTTCATTTAATAAGTTGCACTGAAGAGTTCTGAAAATGGTTAAATATTTGTATAACATTTTATTTTTGACTCAAAGCTTGGAAAAAGGGTTTATTTGAATATATTGCATCACTCTCTTTCGTCATATTATCTTTGGTCCTGAGGATCTAAATGCTGCAGGCTAAAGTCTTCTTGCATCTTTAATGCTGTATTAGAGAACCCTGCGCTGCGACATCCTAACGCTGCGCTGTGCACTTCAACTAAGGACATACACATAATGTACTCTTCTTTACATGGAAACCTTGGGAAAGTGACAAATGTGCATAAAATATGTCACAAGTTGGCGATACTCAGGTATTTATGAACAACTCTAGAAAAATATTACAATAAAAAAGTTTTTATTGTTGCTGTGACATCAGATTCAGATTTAGGGTTTTGGACTCTGTGCAGGGAATGACTTGTGGGTCAATCGTCTCTAGCTGGCAGTGTTAGAATCACACTGTGGCTACAAAGTACAACTTTATTTACTGTTGTGAGTTCACCATCTCTTCATTTAAGAATTATCTCTCAAGGTAAACCTGACAGTTTTTCAGTCGAGTACGGTAATTATTATATTGTGTTCTGGTGCAGATAACTGGCAGATTTTCAGAGTAGTAAACATATTTACAACAGATGAACAGTGTTGTGAAAATGTTTGTTTCACTGGAATGTTTCAGATCATCAAATAAAATGTAAATATCAGATTAAGATTAAATATAAAATACAGTTTAACTGATTTCAGTTAAAGAAGAAGCTGTCCTGRGATCATCTTCCTCATGGTTGAAGCTACAGTGTATTACAGTGATTGTTTTTAAAACATAAAGCAGTTTCCTGATTCTGTCACTGACTGTTTTCTCAGGAACAGGAAATGTTTAGTAAGCAGAAAAAGATTTGAGTCAGGATCAGGGTGGTTTTAACTGGACTACAAGCAGAGAAACCAGGTTTGCTCCAAATGCTTGATTTGTGACTTTTTATCCTGGCTTTTGGCCTCTTAAACAACAACAAAAAGAATTAAAAAATCTTGAGGCAATTCTAGCAAATGTTGCCAGTTTTTATTGTATAACCTTGACATGCAGCTCAGGACAATTGGTTATGATGTTGCCATTTTCTCATCCCAGTTCAGTTAAACAAACAGAACAAACCTCTCCTGCTAGTCTGTTAAAAGCCTTAATTTTACTGTATTCAGACAAATAACCCTGAGACCTGTAATCAGTATGTCAGTGAAATGACACAATGCATGCTTTTGGAAGGCTGTTTGTGGTTTACACACTAAATGCAGTGAAATATATTACATTTACAGTATGAGCCTTGTATAAACCAGTACAAAACACCTTCCTGGATTTTATCATTTTCAGGGTTTCTTTAAGTTTTTAGGTCTAAATATCAGCTGCCTTTGACCTGCTGAAGAGGAACCAAAGGGGCTAATCCTTGGTGGGTTTGGGGGAGTTAATCTAATTCAGAAGTAAAATTAGACATTTTTTTTATTTCTGCAAGATCTCTATAGAAATAGTCAGCAACATTGTTCAAAGTAATATTTAAAAAAGGGAACTTCATAATAGATTAAAAACCATTTATACCAGTAGAACTAGTTTATGTAGAACTACCAGGTTTTCTTTGGTTTCTGCAGAATTAACAGTGTGTAATTTGTTCATCAGTGTGTACTGATATGTATGCACTGAAAACACACTTGCAGCTGTTATTAATGTCAGTTATACTGGCCCTTTATTACAAATTTTGAACGTTGAAGATAAATTTAAAGTGAGTACATTTGTAGATCACACACTGGTAACAATCAATTTAACATCTGGACTAAATGTCTGATCTCAGCACCATGTTTGAGTCAAAGACTCAGAGCACTTAAAGTCTCGGGTGTGGTAACTTTATTATTAAACTTTGCACAAGTTGGCTCAGTTATCAACCTGATTCAAATCCGTTCAGGAAATTTATTTGGCCTAAATACTCTGGTGTTCATAACATCTATTTCTATATACTGTATCTCTCTAGTACTGATCCACTGTTTAATTTGCAAAGCTGTATTAAAAAAAACTTGTCTGATGTGACTGAAATGATTTTGTCCACAGATGATCAGGGATAGTTTATAGAAAACATTTATTTTTAAAAGATAAAATTGTTGTTTTTAAATTATGTGCTAGCCCAAAAACAACAGGTTAAAAAATGTGAATTCAAAGTCCACACTCTGTTTCTTTCAACTTGTCTGGTATTATAATGCCTGTTGTTTGCTCTCTGCAGGGGTACTTGTTTATCTCAGTGCTGGTRAACAGCAACAGTGAGCTCATCCGTCTGATCAACAACGCCATCAAGAACGACCTGTCCAGCAGGAACCCTACCTTCATGTGCCTGGCCCTGCACTGCATCGCCAATGTGGGCAGCCGGGAGATGGCAGAGGCCTTCGCCAGCGAGATCCCTCGCATCCTGGTGGCTGGGTGAGTGAGAGAGAGAGAGACTGGTGGCTGGGTGAGTGAGAGAGGGAGACTGGTGGCTGGGTGAGTGAGTGAAAGACTGACTGGTGACTGAGTGAGTGAAAGACTGACTGGTGGCTGAGTGTGTGAGAGACAAAAATAAAATAAAATCTCAGCTTTCCTGTGGAGAATCTAACAACTCTGTTAATGTGATGGACCACAGGGATACGATGGACAGTGTAAAGCAGTCTGCTGCCCTCTGTCTGCTGCGGCTCTATAAAACCTCTCCTGACTTGGTTCTGATGGGGGAGTGGACTTCACGTGTGGTGCACCTGCTCAACGACCAACACATGGTGAGAGCTGACTTCTGGCTGGACTCTTGGTTCATGTGGTGTCAGTTCCACTCTGCTGTTTTCTGACTGATAAATGAGCTGATGGATGTATTCTGGGTTTAGGGTGTGGTGACTGCAGCCATATCTCTCATCACCTGTCTGAGCCAGAAAAACCCAGATGAGTTCAAGACGTGCGTCTCGCTGGCCGTTTCCAGACTCAGCAGAGTAAGTGTGTCAGAGTGACTGGTGTATGTGCATCTGTCCTGTTCTGTTCTATCTGTGGTTTTAATGAGGTAACGTCTTGTGTCTGTTGTCAGAATCACTACATCTGTTAAAATGGAGACAGATTATTGCTGAAACCTTTGATTCTTGGTAGGCTGGTTCAGACTAAACGCAGATGAATTTATATAGATGAGTGTTGTATTGCACAAAACAATTAGAATGCATAGTTTTAATTTGCTCATTTCACAAATGAAATTCATTAGCACTGGTTAAATTGGCAAACTGTTGTATCAAAGCATGTAACTTAGGTCGTCATGTTGTTTATCTTCTCGTTGATGGACTTGTATAGATTTGATCAGTCTGTCGTGTTTTAAACTCCTTCATGAAAGATTTATTCAACTCTTTAGAGACCAGGGGCCTCATGTGTCAACGGTGCGTATGCACAAAAAGCTTGCGTACGCCCTTTCCCACACAAAACTCCAGATGTATCAAGATTGAAATGAACATGGAAATGTGTGCAGCCCCACACCAAATTTATTGCTTGTGTACGCATGTTTCTCTGGTTCTGGTTCCATCACTGACACTTAGAGGTGATTCTAGGAAACTGTTCATGATGTAAAAGTGATTATTTTTCACACCAGAAAAACTTTAACAATTATTACATCCGCATGTACACCATTAGATAAAGGTCGCACAGAGTTGTGCCTAAAATACTTTTAACAGGAACAGATTCTGCCTTTATTGGAGGATATAAAAAATAACAATACGCAGAACAGGTATTTATTTATACACAGAGGATCAGCCGTTTTCAGCTTCTAAGAATAATCACTTTGCAACAGTATTTGGAGCTGCGGTTGATCTGGGAGTGTGACACGGTGACGTGGAGCCGTGCACTGGGTGTGCACGTGCAGCTCATGCTGGGGTTCCACAGAGTAGGGCTGGGCGATATGATCAAAATTTTCTATCACGGTATTTTCAACATTTTCACCGGTTTCACGGTATTTGACGGCATTTTTCTTTTCATCACAGCTCAGCTGATAATAAAATATACAAATTCTGCTTATTGACTTTTTTTCTTTTACCGTACCTCTGTCTGTGTCGCTGTTTCCCTCCTCTGTGTCTGTTCTTTTCTGACTGGTGGTTGGAGACAGTAGTCATGCATTTTGGTCCAGTCGTGTAGGAGGAGGTTTAAGAAAAGATTATGATCGGGTTTATTGTTTTACGTTATTTATTAAAGCTTATCAGCACGACTCACCTTGCACACCAGTCACTTCCAACTCCACTACGAACTACTTCCTGCAGGCTTTTCACAATAGAACCACGTTAAGTCTCCATCAGCATAACGTCTCCATATTAACTAACCACGTTAAATCTAACTGTGCCCGTCACTGAAGAGGTGTTTACTACATTCAGCGACGGCGAAAACAGGATGTTTTTTAAACGTCAGTCAATATAAGCAGCGGAATCACCACCCGCGGCTGCAACTAGCTGCTCCAAACATTAGCATGCTAACGCACATAGCAGTGCAGCAAGGAAAAATGTCCCCCGGGAAACAACAGTTCAATGGCGGCCGTGACGAAACGTTCCRCTATTTAAACTGGAATGTCCAGTATTCAGAAAATTCATATCATAACAAAAATAAAAACCAGTAGTCTGTACAAAACGGTATACCACCCAGCACTACCACAGAGGCTTTCTAGAGGGAGCTGACAGCAGGGTTAAAAATCCAAAACAGCAGTTTTGGATTTTTCATGATTGACGATGGTTCAACACACGTAAATGAAGGCATGTCAGGGGAGGAGTCTCACGTGTGCTCAGTTCCACGTTGATTTTAATGTACAAAAGAAATGTGGGTGGATTCCGGCGTACGCACGGTTTGACACATCTGTTTTTTTATTTTTTATTTTTTTGTATGCTGTTGTCTTGTTTTGACTGTACACCACGTTCAAGTAAGAAATCCATGCATGTGCAGGTGTACATGAGGCCTCTGGAGCAGCTGAGTTAAAACTGAAGGAACAGGAGGTTCACAGGCGGGAATAAAATATTTGGCTAATCTGGGGAGGAAACTTACAGACTAGTTGACTCTTACACATTAGCTGCAGCTCATATTGTAACCGTCTTTGTCTGAGCATTAAAGTCCTTGTACAAAAGAACATGCAACACCAAGTATCTACTGTGTATATGTCCTCTGGTTGGCAGAGAACGTGATGCTTTGCTGCTGTTTCACTCTTGTATAAACTAATATGGAGATGTCAAATTTTTGTTTAACCAAGAACAGGAACTGGTTTTAACACCGAGAAACAAAAAGTAAAACTGTTATTTTCAGATCGTGTCGTCAGCCTCCACTGACCTGCAGGACTACACCTACTACTTTGTGCCAGCTCCGTGGCTGTCCTGTAAGCTGCTGCGTCTGCTGCAGTGTTACCCTCCACCAGAAGATGGGGCTGTGAAAGGTCGTCTGGTGGAGTGCTTGGAGACCATTCTCAACAAAGCTCAGGAGCCGCCCAAGTCCAAAAAGGTTCAGCATTCCAACGCCAAGAATGCTATCTTGTTTGAGGCTATATCACTTATCATCCACTACGACAGGTACGTCAGCAACGTGCAGGTAAACACAACTAAAGGACGTGTTTATATTAAGCCTTAATGTTAGTTTGCAGTGCAACAGCTTCTTTTTATTAGCCACAAAAAATAAGTAAAGAATTACTTCTTTTTAAAGTCAGTTTAATGCACACAAACACAAACTTTGACCTGGAACAGAACTTTATTACTTCTCTTTCAATACATATAAAAGTAATTTCTGCAATTCTAGAACTCATTCAGTCACTGTTTTTTTTTAATTTATTAAAAAAATTTTAAACGAGTCTTGTAACACAGAACATAACACACCACAAACCCCCAAACCGAGACAAACCCTTCAGTATCAGAAGCGTTTTGTAAAATTTAATAACTGTTTTTAAACATAGAGCTCCAACCCTTCAAGAGCAAGCTCTGTATTTACAGATCCTGTTGCTCTGTTCTCAAGAGCCAAATACTAATTTCTGCTTCTGCCAGACACGTTTACATTGCACTGTTGAAAACTCTGAGCCAGAAATATTGTTTTTGCCAAAAACTTGTCCTGAGTCAGTCAACCAGTGTTCCAACAACCCAAGTCTGAGACATCAAACCACAGATGTTGCAAAGTGTTGCTGAGCTCAGCTGTAAATCACTAAATTGATTTTCAGTTATATCTTAGGTACTGTAAGAATAAAGTTTATGTTTTGTGTACTTTTGCTGTATCTTAAATGTAATATTTTCTGTCTGTTGGACAAATTGAGGATGTTTGTTCCTCTTAGGGGTTATTGAGTGTTTTCATGTGTTGTTGCCAGTGGGAACAACTTCCTGTTTACTGTAGACATGAACAGGCATCACCATTATTACTGTTTTGGTTGTGCACAAAACAACAATGAAATCCTTATATAATAGCAGTAAAGTCTTCTGGTTTTAAGTATTTGTTTTTATTTATATGCTGAGGTAGGTAGAATACTTAAAATTTTTACTAATGTTAAAACATGGTAACACTACTTCAGCATATTTTTACTCAAGTAAATGTAAAAGGTAGCTGTACAAGAAATGACTCGAGTAAAAAAGTATTTGGTAAAAGGCCACTCAGGTACTGAGTAACTGATCAAGACATCGATCATTTAATATTTAAAACTTGCATCATCAGACGAACCAAAATAGAAAGCAAGTTTTTTTTCCCAAAAATTTACTCCAAGTAAATGCAATTAGTTACTACYCAACTCTGTTTATACGTCACTAGCTAGACTACATACTGTATAAGCTGAGGGTTGGTTTTGTTTTGCAGTGAGCCAAACCTCCTGGTGCGAGCCTGTAATCAGCTCGGTCAGTTCCTGCAGCACAGAGAGACTAACCTGCGCTACCTGGCTCTGGAAAGCATGTGCACTTTGGCCAGCTCTGAGTTTTCACATGAAGCTGTAAAGACCCACATCGAGACGGTCATCAACGCCCTCAAGGTGCCACCTTAACCCCTTTTTATTACCAGAAATATGTCCTGACATCAGAACGAACAGCTTGGTGTCAGTCTGTCTTTTGTTTAGTTTGTGCTCATGTGTTTCTTCAGACTGAAAGAGATGTGAGCGTTCGACAGCGAGCAGCTGACCTGCTGTATGCCATGTGTGACCGCAGTAACGCCAAGCAGATTGTAGCAGAGATGCTGAGCTACCTGGAGACGGCAGACTACTCCATCAGAGAGGAGATGGTGGGCATGACACACTGAAGCCGCACAATTTTCATCTTGGCTGCAGACATGACATCTTATTGTTGTACTGTTTGCATATCTTAGTCATGGCTGTCAGAAATGAGGAGAAATAGACATGAGTGGTTTTTTTTTTCCTTACAGGTTCCAAAGCTTAGATTTATTGATTGGGCCATTTTAGAWCTTTGGTTGTTTTTCTGTCCATCACTGGAAAGTTAAAAGTGTGAAAATGGTTTGAGAACAAAAACAACACACAGCTGAATGAAGCAGTCTGCCACTACAAATACAGCAGTACTGTTGAAGCAAATGACTTCTGTCCATGAAAAATACAACTTATTCACTTGAAGCTTCAGGCACGCAACGCAAGGACAAAAGAAACAAATCCACTGCATCATATCTCCGTCTGTGCAGATTCAGTTTGTTTGAAGTGGAGCAGAAAGAAATGATCATAAAACTGTAGAGTCTAATTTTGGTTTGACTAAACAAATAGTATTTCATTAGTTTTCTGCAGCTGTAAACCCAAATGATGTCATAATTGATGTCATCTTGAGTGTCTGTAATTGTGTTTTTCAGGTGCTGAAAGTGGCCATACTTGCAGAGAAGTATGCTGTGGACTACTCYTGGTATGTAGACACCATTCTGAACCTCATCCGCATTGCTGGGGACTACGTCAGCGAAGAGGTGTGGTACCGCGTCATTCAGATCGTCATCAACAGAGACGATGTGCAGGGCTACGCTGCCAAGACCGTGTTTGAGGTACCATCAAATGAAGCTAGCGTGTTAGGTTCTCTTTTCTGGTAAAATGACWGAGATGGTGAACCACAACAAGGTTTGTGTTGAGTTCAAACATCTGAAACTTGTTTTAAATAAGAACTTGATTTGTAAAAAAAATATTTGGTCATTTTCATTTTTCTTCAATCAACTCAAAGCTTAAATATGATGTTTCAGATCTTCTGGCTTTTGCTTTAATAAACTTAGCTACTTGTCATAGGGTGAAATTAGGGATGCACTGATTTTCCTTAATTTGGGAAATCTGACGATTTAGATGAGATCTGTGGAAAACACTGGCTTCTCACAAAGGTCTGGAGATCAGCCAGTCTCTCCTTTTGCTTTGCTGTGAGCATTTCCTCATGTCCAGTTAATTGTTTCAAAACTGCAGTCGGTGCACMCCTAGTTGAAATACTAAGTGGAATAATTTGATCCTCCTCCAGGCCTTGCAAGCCCCGGCCTGCCATGAGAACATGGTGAAAGTTGGAGGCTACATTCTGGGAGAGTTTGGGAACCTGATTGCTGGTGACCCGCGGTCCAGGTGCGTACAGTGTTGTGTTGCAGATCAGGTAACGTGTCTGAGATCAGGTGGTGACCTTGTTGCTTTGTCTTCCAGCCCCCTGGTCCAGTTCAACCTTCTCCACTCCAAATTCCACCTTTGCTCCGTGCCGACTCGTGCCCTCTTGTTGTCGGCCTACATCAAGTTCATCAACCTGTTCCCAGAGACCAAGGCCACCATCCAGGAAGTGCTGCGCTGCGACAGCCAGATCCGCAACTCCGACGTGGAGCTGCAACAGCGAGCTGTCGAGTATCTGAAGCTCTCTTCTATTGCCAGTACCGATGTCCTGGTTAGTTCTGTTAGCCCAGCATGGCTCAGGTCACAGTCCACATGTTGCTGATGACTCRGATCACTAAAAGGTCTATAAAACTGGTGCTGACCCAGCTGGACTCAGTGTTGTTTATTTGTTCTTAGGCCACAGTTCTGGAGGAGATGCCTCCGTTCCCAGAGAGGGAGTCATCAATTCTGGCGAAGCTGAAGAAGAAGAAGGGCCCCGGGGCCGTTTCTGTAACGGAGCTGGAAGACGGGAAGAGGGAGGGTGGCGAGTTGAAYGGAGGCAGCGACCGTGGGCCGGATGCAGCAGCCATGGCTGCCTCTAATGCTGTAAACAGACTTTCTGTGTGGTTTCTACTCTCATCTGTGTCACACCTGCTCTGCTAAAAGTCTCTGTGTTTTCCAGTCCACCCCATCACCATCAGCAGACCTCCTCGGCATTCGTTCCACCGCTCCAGTTAATACTGCTCCACCCAGCACCGGCAGCCTACTGGTAGATGTTTTCTCAGAGGCGGGGCCGGCTGCACCTTCTGCTGCCGTCAATGATGACGGCTTCCTAAGGTAAGAAGTCACCTGTTGGTCTACTGTTGGAGATATCACTGCGAGTCCAATATGAGCTGCAGCAGCTGCCATTAATCCATTAATGAATTCAACAGTCTGCACAACAGCTTCAGGAACTCTGAATAAAACACATTAAACACATTCACTCTTGAATCCAGCAAGTTCTCACATGGTGGAGCTTACTTATTAGAGCACTGTTTATATGGGAACTGTTTTCACTTCTTTAAAATGTTTTGTTTTATTTCATTTAAAATGTTCACATAAAAAAATCCTACAACCCTATATCAGCTGTCAAAGATGTAGCTCTTGTCTACATCAAACTGTCAGAAGACCTGCTTAGTGGTATAAAGACCATGAAAAGAGGTTTCTTAGGTAACTATTTGCGCTCAGTCATCTGCACCAGGTAACCCTAAAACRGATGTGAGGCAGTTCTCATACTGGACCAGGCAGCCTGTGTGGTTTCATGTTGTGTTTGTAGACTTGTGTTTGGTGTGGCTCTTTCTTTGCTTTATCTGTGTCAGAAACAGACCTGTCAACCTGAAGGGACTTGGAGTCAGAAAACAACTTGCTGCTTCTTTGGAACCTCTTAAGTTTACCTTGAGTTTAGGGAAACTCTGAGTCTGTCACCATGTCACCACCAACTCTGTAAGGTAAACCTGCTGGCTCCCACCGGAAGCAGCTTTCTGACCTGAGGTGGTTGATGCTAACGTGTAGCATCACGAGGTGGTTGATGCTAACGTGTAGCATCACGAGGTGGTTGATGCTAACGTGTAGCATCACGAGGTGGTTGATGCTAACGTGTAGCATCACGAGGTGGTCGATGCTAACGTGTAGCATCACGAGGTGGTCGATATATCGATATTGTAATGGTTCGTGATTCAGTTATATCGAGGCAAAATGAAAATATCTATATCGTCGTCATATTCTCCATGTGAATCGATATCATATGCCCATCTAACAGTCATTGTGTTAGATGGGCATATGATATCGCATTATATCGATCGCAGACATGAATTGAATTGAATCGAAATCATATCGTGACAGACTTTGATGTCGAGAAATATCGAATCGTCATCCAAACATATCGATGTGAGATATTGTGATAAAGCTGGCGATTTACACCCCTATGAGTTGGTCGATGCTAACGTGTTGTATCACGARTTGGTCCATGCTAACGTGTAGAATCCATATTCCCTGCTGTAAACACGGCGTGCTGTGTATGACATCACGTCTTCAGGGTTGTGGACTGTGAGTCTGAGGTCCACTTTAAATTAAAACAGCCACACAGAAACCTCTRTTCATTCGGACCTGCTGTAGTCTTATGCTGTGTTCACACCGAATGCGATTTCAGCGTCAAAATTGCGTCCAATGCTTCAAGTTGGACGCTTGTGCACTTTGAGGTCAGACATGAGTCAAAACTGCTCTTGAAGCGCTCGACGCACGTCCAGCATGTCAAGATCCCCCCCCCCCAATCCCGCTGATCTCTCCTCCTCCTGTCGGTCTCTGTTTAATGACCGATGAAATAAAGAAAGTGGCTTTGCTTTATTTACTGAGTGCAAGAGAACGTYGCGCTCATCAGATAATTAATTCACCAGATAATTCAGAGATGTTCTGAGTTTGGTGAGTTTCATCACCCAGGAGCTGCAAGCTCACGGCTCGCTTTAAGAACCATTTTTGTCCTGAGTCCAGTTTGATGAGCTGCTGACCTGCATCGGTGCTGATATCTCCTGCTAGGACACAGACTACAGGCACTTGATTTCAGCTAAAGGCACTTGATTTCAGCTAAAGAGCTCCTTGTCCATCTGTCTCAGGTTAGTGGACGTCATTCAGAAAACTGTCCCTTTGGAGAATCTGTCACTATGTCACACTGTTGAGTCTCTCTGATTGGTTGACGCGGCATTAGCTGCATCCATTGGATGTTGTTTGGAATCACTTGCTTCGTTTTAAGGTGGTAAAACAAATGGCTTGTATTTATCCCTTTCTACATACTTTGCAGATTACTTTTTCTGCACTACACGTGTTTACTCTGTGCGTGCTCCGATGGGGTGACAATCATCCCGTTTATGCTTTACAAGCTTTTTTTTTTTTTTTGGAAATACAGTCAGACTGTCACCCTTTCCCACAGTGCTTCCCTGCTGTATGACTTGAGACAGTATCATGCTATGACTGCAGGAGAAACGAGGTCCATTAGACTCTGCGAATTTTTGTGCGTCCTGCTGGAGCTCGTTCTGACGTCACCTGCACTGACAGTCGCCTCGCTGCGTGTGGTCGCTCGGCAGCCGACTGGACGACACGCCATCACGTAAATATGTAAACAGTTCGGCATTCATTTTCGCACACCCGAACCAGGTCCAGATAATTTATATTTTGCAACTTTTTGCTCTTCATTTGCACTCTCAGCCACGCTGCTTCCCGCTTCCTGTTTTGACTCCAGCCGGTTACGTCCTCAAAAAGAATTTCCGCGGTTGGCCGGTAGAATACAGATCTCAATCATAGGCCAAATTCATATAGTTTCTACCGTATATCGTTTATATCGCGCATTCCTAACTCTTAGCACACAAAGTCCCAGTCCTCAGAAGTTTGTTAAAGTTGTTTGGGTCACGAGATGTGGGCAGATGTTTCTGCAGCTGGGAGAGATGGTTCAGGTTGACAGGTCTGCTGCATTGTCAGTTCTTTATCTTGCTCTGTATGTGACTGTCTTTGGTCTTTTTCTCTCCTACCCTTTCTCTTTTTTCGTGTGTGTGTGTGTGTGTGTGTGTGTGTGTGTGTGTGTGTGTGTGTGTGTGTGTGTGTGT